TTACCTCCCGTCGATGAGACATTGGCAGCGGCGGCATTGGCTTGTTTGACTGTGCGCTCGTATCCCAAAGATTGTCCCGCGTCAAGTTTCGATTGCTCCCACTCGTCGCGTTTGAGCTTCTCAGCATCGGTCAACCCTCTGTGGGCCTTATTGCAACCGTCTGCTGGTCCTCGACAATTCTTGGGATCTCGGGGCCACGCGCAGCATGGAATAGTGCTCTCTTTCCCACGTGATTGGTTGGATTGACTCCTGTTTTTCTGTTGCGCTCCTTTGCCACGTCCGCCCATCGGGGTCTGTGATCGACTCTGCCCCTTTCGGCCTCGGTCCTTAGATCTCCCTCTGGGATTCTTATCCTGGGCAGGAGCAGCACTAGACTTCTTCCCCGTACTCGGCTGAGCCGGTGCGGCATTCGTGGGCTTCTTATGATTAAAAGGACAACCTTTCCCCACATATGGGCAGGTTTCGCCCTTACGCACGTACTTACACGTCGTCTCGCCCTTAGTCAATCCGCTTTTCATGACATCGGTGGGTTTCCCCAGTTTAGCTGCTACTTCTGCCGGAGCGGCTTTGCCGCCGGCATTCCTTCGGTTGTCATTGCCCTCACCTCCGCCTAACCTCGCCTGCCGAACACGCTGATTCAAGGTACTCCCATGCACGCTGATGTTCCACTCTTATTTTTCTCGCAACATCATTTCATCAATCTGCTCCATCAGCCATTCGTAAATCTTTTTCGCCCTGTCCTATTCTATCCTTGGACAGGTCGTAGAGTTGGCATGCAAAATTCAACTTGCTAGGCTTTCTGCGTTGCTCATTGAAGTGCGCATGGATCGAGGCTCTCATTTCATCAGACGGAGGTCGGGCGCCGTAGAGCAGTTGGTATACATCTGTCCATTCATTATAGAAATGCTACTGATCGGCGTCTGGCTTGCGGGGGTCAATAACAACCTTGAAGATATCACGAGAAATGCGATGTTGACCCAACTCCGACCTAACAGAACACCAATGGCAAATGGCTCGTACCATCTCGCGCCCAGTTGAGAGCCTTCCCTCATTCTGGGCGCTGCATTCCATCCGAGTGATCTGTTGGAGGAAATGAATGTGATGACCAGGCTGGCTGCGATTTCTTCGCATCTTATTGAATTTCTCAATCAGATTGGTGGCGACCATGAGATCAAGACGCTGAAAGCGCCCTGCATCTTTCAATTGCTCATCGTCCACAGCTGGGTTCATGCTTTCGCGATGCAGTGCTGCGCTGCTTGGCTCGCAGGCGACGATCCAGCGATCGCACTGACCGCGTGCATTTGCCACTCCCGCATGTTTGTAACATCGGGGATGTCCAGCAGGTCAATCTTCTGATCGTTGCCAACCTGCCTCCACTGGTCCAACGGCGTACTTTCATCAATAACTACTGGATCCTGCGGTCCGCCAGGGCCCTGAGGCCCCCCACGGCCGCCTCCACCATCCGAGGGTCCCGAACCCCCCAGACTCCCTGGAGGCGATTTGCATGGTCGTTTACCGTTGTCATCGTCGCGCGTCGACATGATCTCGGTCGGCATTCGGAGCGTCACTCTTGTCGCCCCCTTCTCCGTCTTGTCCTGCCTCGCCCGACGACTTAGCCGCCGTCGGCCCCGCAGGGCCATCCTTAGAAGACGGGCGGTAATTGACAAAAAGGTTATCGTCGTTAGACCCCGTGAAATCCACTCTCAGGGGTGCTCGGCTTAGCCGGGCCCTCTAGGGCAGGACCGGGAACAGTACAGTTGTGGCGCAACAGCGGCCTCACAGGAGTGTCTTGTGAAAGTAACGGCAAATCGAACGAAATCGAGGTGAACCCTCTTCCTTGTTTACTTTCTGTACGCGGAGTTGGATTTGTGATTATAGCTTTAAGCTTCACCATTCTTTTCTCTGTCTCAGCTGCGTCCGCCATGGCCTCTTCTTCTCGCACGTTGGCAGCTGACCTTTCACTCTTCTGTAGGATACATCTGGAACACCTTCTAGTACTCGCATCGAAATGATCTTTACAAGCCGGCAATCCGCAGCCAGCGCAATTACCCGTCCTCGGGCGTGAGCTAATCGAGCAAAATTGGGCCACTATGGAGCTCTCTGCTTGACTTTCTCCCCTTTCTGCGGGTTGAGGCTGCGCTACCGCCCTCGCCTGCAGGGTTGACGATCCCGCGTTTATTGCAGTTGTCAAATCGGACTGGGGCGGAACGGATGTTGTGCCAGACGACTGAGCCGCTGGCAATGGTCGTCTGTCCGTCCCAGTCGGCTTGGCCGGCGGGCATTTCTCATTGCTCGATTGCATGCGCTGCAGGGATGCTCTGGCCTCTTCATGCGATCTAAGTTCTTCCCGATATTGATTGTTCTGGTCTGCTATTTTCGCAGCTACTACTTGAGTGTTAACCACTTCCAGCCTGGCGTTTTTTAGCTACTCTTGAAGGCTCTGCTTTTCTCGTTCCGCCCTGACTGTAGCGATTTGTTCTCCTTCTACTCTAGCCACCGCAACAGCAGCGGTGGCCGTTTTGCATCAACAGACTGAGTAGTCGCCGCCACAACGGCCTGTCGTTCTGAAGCCATCATTTCTAGATATCTACTCTCGGCTTCTATCTCCGCCTGCCGCTTAGCGGCCGCGGTCTGATGATGCATCTGTTCCACCAGTTCTCGTTCTCGCTCTCTGGCGGCCATGGCTAGAGCGAGTCTTTCAGCCTCAAACGTCTTCCGAACTTCTGCCATGGTTGCTGCCATCTCTTCTCGATCCAGCCGGGCCCTTTCGGCCAGCTGTGCTTCGCTGGTCAGAAACTCTCGCTGGGTTTTAGCCTGAGCTAGTCTAGCCTGACCCCAAATAGTTTGCATGAGAAGGTATGTGCAGTTATGCTCGTCCATAGGAAAGCACTCGAAACACAACCATTGTATATAACACTTAGGGCATACTTCAGAGCAGCTCTTGCATACTGCATGCCTACATGCACCTTCTGGCTTGTTGGCTTTACCTGGGCATCTGCTTTCCGCCTGAGGCGCGCAGTCAAAGTTTGGGTTCCAGCATGTCTCCATTATGGAGATGCTACTGTTGCTCCTTGAAGTAGATCTCGCTCCTGATCTTGGCATGTTGGGTCTTCCCCTACTAGACGCATTCGATCTGGGGCGCACGAAAGTACCTTCTGGGGGTTTGGGTACCTCTAGGAGCTCCTCATCCCTCTCGTCCTGTCTTATAAGCTCAGTGCACGAAACTGGTTGTCCAACCATTTCCTCATCCTCAACAACAACAGGTATCGAAGGTTGCCAATCACCTGAGGCGACGGCAGGGCGATAGAAACCTTCTTTCAGTGGTGAATCGTCTCAGTCATAATCCTCGTTTCTCTGCTTCTTGAGTTGAGGTGCAGGAGTCCGTCCTGTTGACTCCCTGTCATGCTTCGCCTGAGTCTCACTCCTGTCCGCCTGAGGCGTCAGGTCACTGGTATCTTCATCAGATCCATCTGGGGACCACCTCTCGCCTTGGGCGGGGTGGTCTGCTTCCATCAACGAAGACAATTCTCGGCTCAGAGAGATTCCTTTGTTGATATTGTCAAAGTCTTCCTCCATTGAGTTTATTTCATGTTCTTTATCAACAGGGTCGTCGCTGTCTTGGCCGAGCTGTCCATTTAACGCTATTGGGATGGGAACATTTCTACTCGTACCTCCCCATTCGCCTGAGACGCTGGGGTGCACGCCTGTGGTCTGGTGGACTTCCCCTGGTCGACAGCGGCCGGTACGATTGTGTGTGTAGCATTCGAAATAGGGCTGATCGGCTCCGTCGATTCGGCGATCCAAGACGAGAGCGCACTTCGTCTAGGTCTTCCTGTTGTGCCATTTCGTCCATACGGGTCTGGGGTTTGTTCACGATTGCCGATCGGAGTTCCAGAGGGAGAGCCATCTTCCGACGTCTGTACCGCCCCTTCAGTGCTTCTACCCCTAGATACCCGAAGTGGCGATATTAGAAGGAGGAATGCGGCCCTGGCCAGGACCGCTCTCATTAGGGTCAGGACCGTCATGTTGTACAACATAATGATCTGCGTTTCGCGAAGTGACGGACGTATCATCTGTCTTATCATAGCTCATACCCGCAACGACTCAGTCGTGGGGTTCATCCGAAGTTCCTGCTTCTGGTTGGTATGATCCCGCTTCGACTATGTCGCGCGTTTCGGCTGATAACCAATCTTTCCTCTGAGAATCGGGGTAAGATGCCAAAAGGATTAAGATCTCATGTTCACTCTGCTCAGGGAGAGAGGGGACGGGATGAGACATCGATAAGACAAGTATCCGGTAAGCAAGTTTACTATATCAGAAATGGTAAGGGAGGTTGCCGGCCGGCCAGCGACACGACGACGACGCGGGGGCGACCCCGCGGCGCGCGCGAGCGGGCTAGCTCGCACCTTTTCTCTCCTGCAAGCAAACGAAAAGCTTGCTTGTGTAAACAAACAGCTGCAGTATGCAGCGCAAGTTCAAGTCAGACAGTGCACAGCATGCAAGTATAACAGGCAAGCGATATTAATATGATGCGGAGAGGAACATATTTACTGCGGCGCACTGTTTTGCTATAGTGCGTTTTGGAATACATTGCGTGGAATGCCAGTGATGTGCTATGCATTGCGATCAGCGTTGTGCTACTTTCCAGGAAATACTCGAGGGGCTGCAGCTCCTATCTTCCCTGGCCCTCCTGCACAAAAGAATCAGGACCCCTCTGGGCAAAGCCTAGTTCAGGAATCGCAGGTCAAAAGCACCCTCGTCGAGCCACCTACCTATGCATCGAGATGACAGAAAAACCTCCTGAGAGAAACGGGTCCTGGATAGCGCGGCTTCTCCCCTGGACCAGCTTATCATTCCGAGTCGTTTTCGTTGATAGTCCCAGGGCCGGTGCAGGGCACCAGGAGCAAAAAACAACAACAATAACTTAGGACCCGCTTCTCTCAGACATTCGACGAGATGTTCTTTCAATATGCGCGGTCTCGAAAGTCCCCAAACCTTCCCCAGGAATCGCTGTTCGTCCTGGGCCTGGTTCAGACTCTCCTGGGGCCCAGGAGCCGAAGTGAAGAAAAAACGCCGGGATGGAAAAAAGAGCGGATCGTCGGAGATCTGGCTTTCCTTCGCGGCGCGCCTATATATGCCCACCTCTCCCAGCATAGCGGCCCGAGCCAGTCGCGACTCACAGCGGCTCCAAGAGCCGCGTGCCGTCCCCGGCAAAGATGGTGGTCCACCCCACGGCTCCTCGCGGGCGGGAGACATCAGAGCGAGGGGGCCGAGCGGCCTTACACTCTCCTGGGGGTGCGTGGCTGAAGTGCGGTTCCGTTGCTCCGGCTGGTGCTATGATTGCTTTTGTTGCCAGCCCCGCCCAACGACCAACTCCCAACCCACAACTACGAGCCACCCGCGACCCACCCGCGAGCTGCCCCGCGAGCCGCCCCGCGAGCCGCCCCGCGACCCACCCTCGACCCGCCGCGCAATTCGCTTGTGTCCGCGACCCACCCACATGTTTTGCCAGAAAATCAGCGCCTGCGGAGAGGCTCATCCAGTAACGTGTTGAAGCGTCGGCACCTTTGGCAGGCTTCTATACATGTGGTTTCGAGCCTATCCGCAAGATCGGGGGCTATGGTATTCATATCCACGGCCTCGCAGTCCAGACCCCTCGGCAGCGACCCTATGGGTACACCCCGCGATGCCCATATCCACGATCCACGGAATCGCGTATCCATGGGACTGCGAGGGCGTGGATGTGGACATGTTCGTCACTCGTGAGCTCCGTCGCCCGTGGCCCTGGCCTGGACACGGGTGAGGCCCGTCGGCGCCGGCGATGTCCTGCTCCAGTCCAGCACCTGGAGCCTCTCCCCCTCCAGCAGCGCCCTGCTTCCCCTGGAGCCGGACAGGCCGCACAGGCTGCAAGGCCGCACCACCCGCAGGACGCCGCCACCCGGCACCAGGAAGGTGCCGCCGCCGGGCTCCGAGGTGGTGACCCAGCCGACCTGGCCGTCTTTCAGAGATCTGCCGCTGATTCGCAGAGAGCCCGTGCTCGGCTCCACCACGGGGCCCCGGAGAACCTCCAGGACCTCGCCGACCTCCACGCTCCGGAGGGGCGCGCTGCCCGGGCAGGGCAGTCCGTCAGTCAGGAGCGTCTCCTTGACGACCTTGTGAGGGGCAACGGTAGGGGGGGGGGAACGACTCGGGGAGGGAGGCATCGACGTCGAGTCGGCGATACATCGCCAAGGGGATGGCGACAGGCCCCCGACAGCAGAACCGCACGCTCCCGGGCGGGGTGGGCTGCTGAGCCCCCTGTCGGCGATCAGTGGGCGTTTGGGGGTCGATGCATCCCCCCCCCCAAAGCCTATTCCCGACTTGTCGTTGCCCCTGATCCTTATGGTACACCCGGACGACGCTCATGAAATCACTCCTGCCCAGCTCGACCGCGGCACCACCGACGGCGGGTGCAGCAGTGCCGTCGCCCTCGAGGCACCCGGTGGAAAACCTGGAGAAGACGGTGTCGACCTTCTCCTGCGCGAGCTCGCACTTGTTCTGCCTCAAGAAGGCGCCAGCGTCGGCGGCCGTGACAGAGTCGCCAGCTCCTTTGGAGATGACCTGAAACAGATCGGTGACCTTTCCGCCCATGGCCTCCACGCACGCCTGCATCTTGACAGCCACCTCCAGCCTCATAGGGGGACGAACAATGACATAAACATAGAAACTCGGAGGTTCGCGCGGATTTCTCGGAGCGGCGCCTCCGGCGCCGCCCCTGGCGCGCTCCGCGCGCCAGGGAGGGGGGCCCAGCGCGGATCCGAGACCTCCGCGCGGACCTCCGAGCTTGTATGTTTATGCCATTGTTCGCTCCCCTACCTCAAGCTCTCGTAGCCCTCGCACCCTGGCTCCATGGCCGCCTGCCGGCCGAGCAGGAGCGACGAGGCCGCCTTCTCCAGCCGCGCGTCAAGGGCCCCCCTCTGCGCGAGGAGGGCCTGCAGGGGACCCCGCAGCTGATCCTGGAAGGAGGGAGGCAGCATCAGCGCAGACTCTCGAGGGTCCGCGCGGGTTCTCTGGGATCGACTCCTGCTGTTCCCTTCGCACTGCAGGACCACGTCCCCGAAATGACTGCGAGCACCCAGAAACACAATCGAAACAGAGTCTACCCGACACGCTAGCGAAGTGTCGAACGAGTATGGGCCTCCCAGGGCTCGGCGCTGGACCCCCACCCTGGCCGGGGGCGTCGCCCACGGCGCAGCCGGGAGGACCCACCCCCGACCAAGAAGCCCGCGCGGACCTCCGAGAGGCTGTGGGCGTGCCGCCATCTCTTCCTCGAGGTCCCTCGGGTGCCCTGGCAGGCGGTTGGCGTCCCGCACGAGGGCGCTGGCGGCGCTGCGGATCTCCTCGGGGATCTATCGGGCGCGGCCTAACCGACCCCTAGTAAACCATCCCCTTCCGTGGCGTCATCCTCGCCTTTCGACCCCTCCTCCGGCCACATACATACGTCTTGGGGCGAGGCAAAGGGGACGTTAAGGAAGGGGATGCTTGGCTAGGGATCGGTTAGGCCGCTGCTGAATATACTGGCCTGGGTCAAACCGACCTGGGTCAATCCCGACCTGGGTCCTCCAGGATCCTGCGCCCGAGCCTGGGTCAGTGCAACCCCCGCCCTGCAGAATCCTGCAAGATCCGGCGCTCTGGCTGACCCCCGTTCGCCTTGACTTATGTTGTTCCCGTCCTACTCAAGGAGACCGCATCCCAGAGCTAATTTCGAGCACCCAGAAGAGTGTCAAAAGAGTGTCGAAACGGTGTGGAGACAGCGTCTCCCAGGGCCCGGCACGTGAGAATCCTTGAGTTTCGGTGCGCTTTTGGGCGCTCGAAACTCTTCCTGGTGATCAAGGCGCAAGTAGGTTGGAGCATCATAAGCCTTGCCCCCCGTCGATTGAGCCCCCATCTCCGCCAGCTCGGACGTGGCAGCTCTCAGGGACCCATCGGCCTCCGCGGCCCTCGCCGACAGCCCCTCCGCCGCGGCCGCGGCGGCCGCCTGCTCGGCGGGCGCCACCCGGGCCTCGAGTGCAGCCAGCCTCTGGGACAGCCCGCCCGCGAGCGCAGCCAGCGCCTCCTTCCGCCGGGATGCCCTGGCCTCCGCCTCGGCGGCCTCGCGCTCCTCGCTGCGGGGCGCGCGCGCGGGGGTCGGGCAAGGGGGGGGGGCCTTCTGGGAAGGCGGGGCGCCCGTCGGGGAGCGTCGGAGGTTTCTGAGGGGATCGGTTTTGTCGGAGGCAGGAGGGCGTTCGAGGGACGTTCCCCTGCCTTCCTTTCGAGGCCCCCCCACCGCCACAGCCCCTTGTGCGCGCCGCCAGTCCTCTCTCTTCATCCTCTCATCCTCTGGCAACCTTCTCGCGAGACCCCGAGCCTGGTGCCGCGAGATGCCGACCGCCGTCTTCAGCTGCTGCAGTTTCGCCAAGGGGAGCCCTCTGGCCCCTGGCGGCACCAGCTGGCGGAAGATGCGGTCGAGACTCTCCTCGCAAAAGAAAAAAGAGAACGGCAGGATGTAAATACAAACGTTCGAAGGTCCGAACGGATTTCCTGGATCGGCGCTGGGCCCCCTCCCTGGTGTGGGGAGAGCGCAAGGGGCGGCGCTGGAGGCGCAGCCAGGAGGGTCCAGCGCAAATCCCAGAAGTTCGCGCGGACCTTCGAAAGTTTGTGCGTTTGTGCCGCTCTTTCTTGCTTCGACCTCGGGCAGCTTGAAATCATACTCCATCTCCGACAGCGCGAGGGCCTCGGAGCGATCCAGGACACCGTCCCCGTCGCCGTCGTGCCTGCGGAAGACCTCTGCGGCCCTGCCAGCCCACAGGGACGGAGCCACCGCCTTCGCGACCCTCTCCCTGCCGGCCCTGGCCAGCGCCAGCGCCTCCGACGACGCCCGCAGCGCCGCCTGCACGCGGGGGCTCAGCGCCGCCAGGGCGCGGCCCGACTCCTCGCGGACCGCCTCCGCCTCCAGGATGGCGCCCCGCTCGCGGCTGTAGAACTCCGAGCACCGCGTGCAGGCCGCCAGCGCCCGCACCCCGGCCGCCTCCGCGGCCCGGGCCACCCAGAGGACCGCCTGCCGGCCGAGCGGGCTCGCCTCGTCGTCCGCCGCGCCGCCGAGCGAGGCCACGGCGGCCCGCGTCTCCTCCGAGGCGGACTCGGCGGCGTCCACGAGGGCCTGGAACTCCTGGAGCAGCTTCTTCGCGACAGCCTCCTGCTCCTTGGCCCTGAGGGCCAGCGCGGCCGCCTTCTCCTGCGCGTCCCTGACCTGCTCCCTGACGTGCTCGACGAACTGCTGCGCGAAGCCGAACACGCGGTCCGCCTCACTCGTGAGCGTTTCCTTCTGAGGGCCCGTCAGAGGCAGCTCGACCCTCATCACCTCCTCGAACTCCGCCTGGAGAGCCTGGTCGGAGGACGCCAGCCATAGACCTACACTGATTCTGGCCAGATCGGTGCACGGGCCCTCCCGGCTTGGCGAGGATCTCATGTGGCATATGCACCGATCATGGCCCGAAGATCGACCTGGCCAGGGGCGGTGTGGGCGTATGGTTGGCCTCCTCGTGCCTGGAAATTATCGGGGGTGACCTCGGAGAGCCTCTGCAGGCCCCGGAGGACCGCGAGGGTGGCGTTCTGCTCTCGCCGCACGGCCGCCTCCCTCTGGGCCTTCTCGGCTTCCTCCTCCTTCTTGCGCGCCTCCTCCAGAGGGGGGACGCCAGCATGAGCAAGTCGGCTGCACGCATGACTGACTGACGCTAGGCAACCACTCAAAACGAAGCTCGGGTCGGGCGAAAGGGGGGGATAGCAAAGGGGGGGGTTGAGAATCAGCTCACGTAGCTGATTCTCCCGGCGCCTCCCGGCGCCGGAGGCGGCTATGCATCGAGGAATGGGCTCCTCGGTGAGGCCGAAACCAGCTGCATGCAGCAAATTTCGTACCCCCCCCTTTCCCAAACCCCCCCTTTCCCAATCCCCCCCTCCTGGACGGCGGCAGACCTTCTGGAGGCCTGGAAATGGGCACCGGCACCAACACAGGGGGGTTGCCTCCGCATGGGGAAGATGCTCATAGATCTCGGGTGCTGGTGGTAACATTTCGGTCACCCTGGAAGCCAGGATACTGCAACCATCACCGAGATCGGGATCTTCTTTCCTCGGTGGAGGCGCACCGCCAAATTTCGTACCCCCCCCTTTCCCAATCCCCCCCTTTCGCCCGGCCCGAGAAGCCAGGGCAGGGACCACATCGGACGGGGATGAACGAGGGATCTCCGAGCCCCGGCGGTTCTGGGGGATGCACCGGGCGCCGCGGCCGCTCCGAGGGCCCTCCGAGGGCGCTCCGAGGGCGCTCTGGAGAGCTCTGGAGCGCGTTATCCCCGCCCTGGCCCCGCCAGAAGAGGACTGCAAAAAAAAACCCAGGATTGCAGACAAAACAAAAAACAGCAAAAAAAAAAAAACCTTTTTGGTGTGCGGCCTGCCGGTGGCCGAGCGCGATGCGACGGCGTCGGCCTGCGTGTCTCGGGTCCGGCCCTCGCGCGCCGCCCCCCCCAAGCCGCGAGCCACGGGTCACTCCCCGCGTGGCCGAGCAGAGCGGGGAGTGCCTCACCGCTCGGCCTCTGAAGGGGCCCCGTGCAGGGCCCGCCAGTCGTGGGCATGGGCTGCGCTGCTTGACGGGTTGGTCTCCACGGGGGGCCCGGGGACCGATCTCGAGCGGAGCCAGGCCGGGACCCAAGAATATCCACGGAGACCGATCCTGCCCAGGCCCATCCTGGGCCAATTGATCTCACCGGCCCTGTGAGCGTAGGCGGTTTAGGAGGTTTAGCGGACCACCTCTTCCAAACCCTCTTCTTCCCTTGGAGGAGGGGTTGGTCACTGCGCCCTATCAATCAGCCCCCCGTCCACAACTCGACCCGCCGCAATCCAGGAACCCTGTGCCCCACGCCCTCCAGTGTTCCTCTTGAGAGTCCATGCAAAGTGCATGTGGTGGTAAACTCTGAATGATAAGGGAGCATCCTGCGATCACTTTGAGCTTGGTTTCGGCACGAATTGCGGGGAGATCACATTTGTCCTCTGCGCGGTCGCGCGCTATCTGCATCAACAGCCAATGCAAGCTAATGGCGGGCGCACGCACCACACACCATAGTAGCCTCTGTGCGTGTCGCGCATGCGGTGCACCTGGCGCGCCTGGAGCATGTGGCACACTTGGAGCACGTAGCGTATCTGGCGCACATGGCTGGCGTCTGTGCTGCTTCCCCGTGGCTGTTCATCCGATGGCAACCTCTACCTCTGCTGGGTCTCGAGTGCCACTTGTATGGTGAGAGCGCGGATGGGAGTGAGCGAGATAGCTTGTGGAGTTCCCATTGGGAAGTTGACCCCTACCTCCTTTCCTTGGGTCTGGACGCCCACTTGGGCGCAAGACTTCTGAAATACTGCCTCAGAGAATTTGCCCTACGTGACATGTAGCACCAAGATCGCACAAGAAAGCCTCAGGAGAGGCCCTGGAAGGCGCCAAGACTGCACAAACACGTCTCCAGGAGCGCCCCAAAAACCTCCAAGAGGGCCCCAAGGAGATGGCACCTTTCTTCTGATCGGTGAATTCCTGGATCGGCCCATGAGGGCTCCGGTGGTCCCCGAGAGGACACCCCTTTGAACCAAACTGGATTCCAACAACTCCGCAAGAGAGGCTCCAGACAGCCCCGAGAACAAGATGCCTTTGTGGCTGGAAATGGTTTCTTCGCGCCTTTCCGCTGTCACGGAGATCAAGAGTCAACAAAAACAAGGGCCTTCACGGCGCCCTTGCAGGAGGCCGTTCAATTCACCGTAGAAGTTAGGGCGGGGAGAGGTGCAGTTGGTGCGGCGGTTGCCCTCCTTCTTTTGTGGCATCGTATGTTCCCACTCGTCTTCAATCGAGGCAGCTCGCCAAAGAATATGCACTCGATGCGCTGGTGGGGATACTTTTTGGTCGCGGCCGCAGGCGAGAGCGCAAGCGGCGAGTCGTAAGTCTGGGGCGCGGGCCTACTAATGCTGGTGGGCATACTTTTTTGGTCGCGGCCGCCAGCGAAGAGGCAGGCGGCGAGCAGGGTGTCCGGGCCAACGGGCAAGCCTAATTAGCTACAAGAGGCGCCGCTAGCCGGCCGGCCCACTCACAAAGCAGCCGCGAGGCTGTGGGGGAGCTGACGGCGGGGGGCATCCTGGGAAGCTCGGGCACGTGCAGTGGGCAAAATGTCGAGGAAGTCGATGCCTGCCGTGAGGCACGACCCACACAGTGACATGACGTGTATCCCCTGGTGGGGATACGCGGAGCGTCAAGTGGCCCTGCCAGGATCAGCACAGACGGACACATCGAGTAGTCCCTGCGCGTGCCTCAACAAATCGTGATCATCATCAGTTGGAGGGCGCATCGGGGAGTCAAACATCTTCGGGGGAAGCACGCCAGGCGGGCCAGTCCGTTGGCTGATGCGCCCGCTGTAGTTGGCGCCCCGCGACGCTTCCCCTGCCTGGCCCCTGGAGGCCCTGGATGCAAAAAAACGCTGCCTCTGGGGCTGAGAACCGTCGGCGTGCGTCGGCTTCCGCCGGTGGGGCCACCCTCGCATTCCTTCCGCTGGTCTCCCGCTGGGGAAAGGCTTCGGGGCCCTCACTGGGGCGCCCTTGTTGGCGCCCCACGGTCCTCCTGCTTCCTGATTGCCTCGTCCTCCCTCTTCTTCTCCATCTCCGCCTTCCTCTTCTCGTCGCGCTCGGCCCGCCGCTTGTCCTCCTCCTCGCCCCTGGAGGCCATCTCCTTGCGTCGCCTCTCCTCGCGCCTCCGCTGCAGGTCCGCCTCCTTGCGGCGGTGCTCCTCCTCCTTCTTCCTGCGGAGCTCTTCGAGTTTCTTCGCGCGCTCCTCTGGAGACTCCTGGTAGGGTTAAGTCGGGCCTGTCCCTCTACAGGGGGAATATTCAAAAATAGCCAAACAATAACATGGGGGCTGTTTCTTGAATATTTTTGGCCATCTTTTCTGATAACCTTCTCTGAATATTTCTACTGTTTCGTCCAAAATCCCCCTGTAGGGGGACAGGCCCAACCTCATGGCGGGGCGGCGGGATCTGTACGCGCCCGCCGCCGCATGGCAGGCCCGCTCCGGGGGCCCGGGAGCGGCGCCTGCGCCCCACTGTGGGCCCTGCCAGGGCTGCCAGCCAGGACCGCCTCCGGGCCCTCGGGATGGGCCTGGCCGTGGGGCGGTGGACGTGTGTGAAGGGAAACTGGGACACACAAATAAACACACACACAAATAAAAATATTCCCCATATTTTCCTATATTTTCTGGGTTTTTGTCTTCCCCACCACTTCCCATATTTTCCCATATTTTCTGGGAAATCGACGATTAATTGTGTCTGTGTGTTTTTTTTCCTCCTGAGTGTGCAAAGGTCGTCGCCCGATCCTGGGGCGCCTCGGTCTCCTTCTTCCGCTCTCTGGCCCTCTTCTCCTCCTCGGCCTTCCTCTTCTCGTCCTCTGCCCTCAGGCGCTCGGCCTCCTTTGCGCCCTCGTCTTCTCGCCGCCGGTCCTCTTTCTCCTCCTCCTCCTGCTTGCGACGCTTGTCTTTCTCGTCTTTGAGCTGCCGCTCTGCTTCCTTGCGCTTGCGCTCCGCCTCCTCACCGCCCTCCGCCTTTTCGGACGAATCGTTCCGTTTCTTCTTCTTCTTCGCCTTGTCCTTCTCCTTCGGTTTTTCCCTCTCCTTCTCATCGCCTTTTCGCCTGCGCTCCTTGTCGTCTTTCCGTTTGTCGTCGTCCTTGGCCTTCTTCTTCTTCTTTTCCTTGGCGTCGGACTCCGACTCCGACTCGTTCTTCCGCTTTCTCTTCTTTTTATTCTTCTTTCGGTCGTCCTCCGAATCTGATTCCTTCTTCTTGCTCTTCTTCCTGGGCTTCTCATCCCCCTTCTCCTCCGCCTCCTCGTCCTGGGAGCCGCTGTCGCTCAGGCCGCGCTTATTCGCCACCTCCGCCTCCTTGGCCTTTTGTTTGGCCTTCAGCTCATCCACATAGCGCTTGGCGAAGCTGAAGACCCGCTCCGATTCTGCCTTCAGCGTATCGTGCTGCGGACCTGTCTTGGGAAGCTCCTTCGCCACGACGCCCTCGAACTCCGCCTTGAGGGCGTCAAAATTATCCAGGGTGACGTCCGACAGCTTCTGCATGCACGCCATCACCGCCTGGGCTGCCTTCTGCTGCTGGGCCTCTTTCCGCTTCTGCTCCTGTTCTGCCTTCTCCTTCGCGGCCCTCTTGGCGTCCTGACCTTCTGCCTCCTTGCCCTTGTCGTCCCTGCTGCCCTTCAGTTTGATCTTGATCCCCATGTGCTTGGGCGGTGGCTCGGCTGCTGGCGCCATCACCACCTCCACCTCATCATCGCCCTCTTCGTTCTCACCGTCCTCGTCAGAATCGTCCTTCTTTTTTTTGGGCTGCTTCTTCGACTTCTTCGCGCTCCTCGACCGGCTCGCCTTCCTATTCTTGCTCTTGTCCTTCTTCTCGTCCTTCCCTTCCCTCCTGCTGTCCTTCTCTTTCCTCTCCTTCCTGCGGGACTCGGCCTCCTTCGCGGCCTCCTCCTCCCTCTTCCGCTTCTCGTCCTCCTCCCTCTTCTTCCTGTCCTCCTCCTCCTTCTTGTGCCGCAGCTGCTCTTGGTCCCTCCTCGCGCGCTCCTCGTCGTTCCGGCGCCTCTCCTCGGCGATCTCGCGCTGGCGGGCGGCGGCCATCTCGCTGGCCTCTGCGGCCTCCTTCTCCTTGAGTGCTTCTTTCTGGCGTACCTTCTCCTCTTCCGCCTCCGCTTCCCGCTTCTTCTCGTCTGCCCCGTTGTTGTCGTCGCTGTCATTATCGCCCTCGTCCTTGTCATCCTCGTCTTCGTCGTCATCGTCCTTCTTGCCGTTTTTCTCGTCTGACTTCTCGTCGCTGTCGTCGTTGTCGTCCTTACCGGCCCCCTGTTTGTCGTCCTCTTCGTCGTCCTCATCACTATCGGAGTCGTCATCGCCTTCCTCCTCCTTCTTCTTGCGCTCCGCCTCGCGACGCTTGATATCCTCCAGAAGTGCCCTGTCTCGCGCTGCTTCCTCTTCTTCCAGCTTCCTCTGCGCATCCGACTTTTTCGCCTTTTTGTCCTTCTCCTCTCGGTTATACAGTCGGGGCCTTGACCTAAGGAACCCAAAATAAGGAACGAGGCCCCTTTCTTCCATGAGTTGAACTTCGATTTCCCATCGTAGACCTAAGGACAACCTAAGGCAAGGTGTGGAACAATCAAGGAACACCGAGCCCCTCCCCAACGAAAAGCGTTCCTTCTTCAGGGCCCCGACTGTACGCAAGAGTGACCCTAGGCAAGACTGACTTGTGGTGCGCGGCTTGCCGATCGCTGCACGCGAAACGGCAGCAACGGCCAGGGTGCTTGGGAGAAGAGCCCCCAGCGCATCCCGAAAAGCGGCGCACCAAAGGGCACCCCGACGAGTGGCAACTCTTGCGAGGGAGGCAGGGAGGGAGGGAGGGGGGAGGAGGGAGGAGGGAGGAGGGAGGAGGGAGGAGGGAGGCAATCCTTGCTGTGCTTCTTGGACGTGCCGTCCTCCTTTTCCTCGCCCCTCTTCGCCTGCTTCGGGTGCTTTGGCTTCTGCGCGAGCGGCCTCGCTGGAACCGTCGGCGGCTGCAGCGCCTGCTTGGACGGGGCAACGGGCGGAGGCGGCCTGCTGCGCTTCACCTGGCCAGGCTTGGCCGCGGTCACAGAGAAACTCTTGTCGATGGAGCCGTCATGTGGCACGTTCCAGTCCGCCGCCGGAGGCGTCGTGGCCTTGCGACTCGGGTGGTAGGCCCACACCAGCTCGCCGCCCACCGCGGGGCCAAACCACCAGCCGCACAGCTCCGCGCCGTCCCGCTCGTCCCAGAAATATATCAGCACGTCGAGGGCGTCGGAAGACCTGGTGTCCTCGTCCTTCTTATACACGACCTTGTTGTGATTGGTGGTGTGCGGGAAATCCACTGGCCACCCGTGCGGCCTCCAGGCTGCGAAGATCAGACTGGCTTGAACTAAGTGCCGTGCTCGATGCGACGTGGCACAACTAGTGTGGCAGTTGTGACCTGCCCCCTCTCTGTAGCTGTCACCCCCGCCCCGAGAGCACCCGACGGTCACACTGCACACTGGGGGTGCGCTGCATTTCCTGCCCCCGCCCCCCCTGCGAACGTTGATCCCGGGTCCTCGATTCACAAGGGCTCCCAACTTCGCGCTTCGCGCTGCGCGAAGCGCGAAGTGCGAATAACTTCGCGCTCTCGCGCCACCCCCCCAAAGGGAGAAAAGGAGGACAAGGAGGAGGAGGAGGAGAAGGAACGAGGACCGCGAAGCGCGAAGCGCGAATAACTTCGCACCCTCGTGGGAGCCCTTGATTCAGGACACATGATTCCTGGTCCGCGCTCGCAGGGTCCCGATCCCTTAGAAATTGTACTGGGCCGCATCCCCACGGCCGCGATCCCTAATCGAGTATAGATCACGCTGCATCCACGCTTTCGGGGCCAGGATGCTGGTTCACTGCGTCCGCGCTCCCAGGGCCACGACCTCAGATGATTTTCGCTGCATGCGCTTCCCGAGGGCCCCGACACCATGAAAATTAGACTGGATCCGCGCTCTCATGACACCATCAGTCGTAAATTACCCTGGGCCCGCATTACCAGGGCCGCAGTCGTTTGCAACTTACAGCTGGTCCGCGCTCCCAATAGCCCGATCCCTTAGTAACTCACCCTGGATCAGAGTTCCCAAAGCCACGATCCCTGGCAAATTGCGATGGTTCCGAGCTCCCCGGGCGAGACCCCCTTGGAGTATTGGCGGATGCTTTTTCTCCAGGACGCGAACCAACGATGAGCAACGCCCCACACGTCTCACCCCGTGCAGCCTGCGACAACAAGCGAAGAGCGCATGCGCCGAGGCAAAGCAAATCGGAAAAAGAGGACAGCAGCAGCATCGTCTCGCAACCGTCGCGTCGGTGCCTTGATGTGATCGCGGCTACACCCTGCGAGATGCTTAAGAAATCATGGGTTAAGAAATTCATAGTCTCAGAACTTGGATAAAAACCCAACATTCCGATTAAAATCTTAAGATTTACATTGAAACGTTAAGAAGAATCGAGACTCTGGACGAAAACTTAGGCTTTCTTAAGCATCGCCTAGGGTGTACCCTGCAAACTCGCGCGTGCGTACCCCCTACCAGTGCACACCGGTGGGACTCGCGCTGGTGCCCAACACGAGCGGGGAGGGGGGCGAGCGAGGGAGGGCGGAGCGGGGCAGAGCGAGGGAGGAAGGGAGAGAGGCAGAGAGATCAACCTCCTCCCTCTTCCTCCTCCTCCTCCTCCTCCTCCTCCTCCTCCTCCTCCTCCCTCCTCCTCCTCCTCCTCCTCCTCCTCCTCCTCGTCCTCGTCCTCGTCCTCGTCCTCCTCCTCCTCCTCCTCCTCCTCCTCCTGACTCACATGGCCAGCGATACGAAACACGGCTCTTGCACTCAAGGAGTGGCAGGTCCAAGGATAGGCCGTAGGCGTGCGAGTTCTGGCGCAGCGGCAGCGCGCGCTGTCTGAACAGGGACTCATGCCGAAGCACAGTGGCCAAGTCAAGGACATAAGGTACAATGTCACAAGTGGTTTCTACGTTCCCTGAATACCTAAGAGTCCGCACGAAGGCCATCTATTGCTCACAGCGGCTCCCAAAGAGTTTCAAGAGGCTTCAGTAGGCTCCACATGAATAAAAATGAGGCCCAGAACTTGACCTGATATGGTCCAAGATAAACCCAACGAAGCCCACAGGGATCAAATTCCCTGGGGCGCCCAGGAGGAGGAAGAACAGAGAGAGCAGGAGGAGGACGACGACGAGGATGGCGATGAGGGATCCATCGATGCCTGGAGCAGGGGCGGGCTGGCGGCGGGGGCCGAAGGCACTCAGATAGGTACCCTTCACTATCTCGCTGATGGTCTTGTTCTGGCATCCGCTGACTATCAGCGGGACGTCCTTGGCCTTGATGATAGCAGCCGCCTGGTTGACACCCGGCTTGCCATCCGCCGCCTCGTCGCTGTCGTCCTCGCTGTCGTCCTCGCTGTCCTCGCTGCTCTCGGCCTCCGCGGCAGCCCTGGCATGCTCCTCCTTCGCCCTGGGGGCGGCTGCCTCCTTGCCGTCGTCGCTGTCCTCGCTTTCATCGTCGCTGGGCTCCTCGGCCTTCTTCGCGGCATCTCCACCCGTCTTCGCCATGCCACCGCTGGTATCCTTGACCTGATCAGCTTCGTCACTGCTGTCGTCGTCGTCGCTCTCAATGTTCTCTACCTTCTTCGCCGTCTGCTTGGCTGCGTCTGCACCTTTCTTCGCCGGCACCTGCTTTTCCTCAGCCTCGTCACTGTCCTCGCTGTCGTCCTCGCTCTCGCTGTCCTCTGTCTTCGTTTCCTTTGCCTTGGCCTTCGCCAAGGTCACCTTCGCCTTCTCCTTTTCCCGAGTGCTCTTTTTCGGCTCTGGCTTCTTCGCAGCCTTGCCCCGACTTCTGCTGCGCTCCTTCTCGGCACTGCTGCTGGAGCGCGCGCCTTTCTCCTTGCGCTCCTTCCCCTTCTGGCGATCCCTCTCCTTCTTTCTGCCTCCGAGGCGGCTCCCCTCGGCACTGCCGTCACGCTTCCTCCGGTCGCGACCCTTCTCCTTCTCCTCCTTCTCCTTCGCTTTCCTCGAATCCTTCTCCTTCTCCTAGAGAGGAGCAGTAGCCGGCATCAACATGCAACGTCGGAGGCCCGCGCGGACTTCCTGGGCTGGCGCTGCACCCCCCGCCGCCGGCGCGCCAGGCGCACTAGGGGCGGTGCTGGAGGCGCCGCCAGCGGGGGGGGTCCCAAGGGCTCCCAACTTCGCGCTTCGCCCCGCGCGAAGCGCGAAGTGCGGACAACTTCGCGCTCTCGCGCCGCCTCCCAGGGGAGGAGAGGAGGGTGAGGAGGAATCGGAGCCGAACCGCGAAGCGCGAAGCGCGAACAACTTCGCGCCCTCGAGGGCACCCTTGGAAACGTGCACGGGCCTCATACGACGTATGATTATGCCGCCTGTTGCCGCTCGATGTCCTTCTCCTTCCCCTTCTGCCTTGCCGACCAGCCACGGTCGGGGGAGCCGTGTCAGTTGCTCCATGGGGGAACCCATCACATCGGCGATCCCTCGAAAGGTGCGCCAAATCTCGTATGCCCTCAAGGGGAACGAACCACGGCTCCCCCAGTTGTGCGAGGGGGGACGGTGCAGAGGGGGGGCCTGGCCCTGGGGGGAAACACTGCCTTGGACTCGGCGATGCATTGCCGACAGATCGGCGACAGGCCCTCGATAATCAGCGCAACCGTACGCTCCTGGGCGTGAAGGGCCCCAGGCCCCGACTGGCGACGAATGGGCGGTGGGGGGTTGATTCCCTCCACGCTGGGCCAGCCCTTCCCTGCCCATGCCCGTGGTCGCGGCCGGTCTGCCTCGACTGGCGCTTGCCGTGCCGGGCGCGGCTCTTGCCGCGGCCGGAGCCGCTGCTGCTCATGGCCCGGAGCCAGAGAGGGGGGCACACGCCGTGCCTCCGCACGGCGGGGCGCGAGGCCACCGCTCGCCCACCGCCCGGCCGCACGCGGCCCCGGGTGCCCCTCCGCCGCGCCGTCTGGGCCAGAACAGCTGCTTGGCGGCGCGCACAAGGGGGTAGGGGGAGGGGGGAAGGCTTCTTAGAAGGAGGCTGCTTCTTAGAAGGCGCCGGCCTTACATCTACAAAGAAGGCCCGCGCCTTCTAAGAAGCAGGGGTGCTTCTAAGAAGCCCTCCCCCCTCCCCCCACCCCCCTCTGCGCCTGCCTGGGCTGCGGAGGAAGGGGGTGTCGGGAGGCAGCTCCGTATCGTAGCCCAGACTTGCCGCCGGACACGGGCGGCCTTGGCCTCGGAGGCGGAGCTTGGAGGGGGCGCTGTCTGCCTTGATTGTGCTGCGCTTATAGTTTGCTTCGTGGCTGCTGCAGAGTGCTGCCGCCGTTTTCTGCTGACGCACCTGGCTGTGCCCCCATGGCTTGGTTGCCCACGACAAAGGAAGCAACTCCTGGGATGTCTTGGTGGGAGCGATTGACTCTGAGGGCTAAGCCCGATGAGGAGGCGAATATGCTAGACTGAACTGGATCAGGCCCAACATTAAAGTGAGATTAGGCCAGATAACAGCAGGATCAAGACACAGCGAGACGGCCTTCGACCGTGCCGTGGATATACCAGCGCCGATGCTGGATTCAAACTGCCAAAAGATTCGACCATAAGAATGTGCGTGCGTTTCTTTGGTACCGTTTTCGAAAGAAGCAGAATCGCTGCGGAATCTGTTTCCCAATTCCTTGGGCACCGGGCCCGTCAACAAACTACGGACAATGAAAAACCGGTCCCAAAATTCACGGGAGACAAATCACGGCTGAAAATGTGGGGGCCGTTTTTGGCTGCTGGGGGGCCCTTGCCAGGCCCTGGGACCGTCAAACAAACAACTCAGGATGGTAAGCCGATCCCATGGTTTCGTTGCGCCCTGCTGAGGAGAAATGACACAGCGAAGGTTGTTGTGCCGCTTTCGGTCCCTGCAGGGGTGTCCTTCCTTTGCCAGTCGTGAGGTCATCCTGGGCCCTGGCATGGTGTTTACACGTCGGTCGGGAGAAACATATAGAAACATGAAGTAGGAAGTCGGGTCAAGTAGATAGGGGCTCAGGCCCTCCCAGATAATCACAAAACATAGCAAGAGCATATCGATTCTTGAAGTAGGAAGGCGCTTAAAGTATATTGGGATCTGGGGGTTCACAAATACCTACTTTCAACGACCAGCGTGTACGCCTCAGGCCAGGATCCAGGAGGTTCTCCGGGGCGCAAGAATGCCTGGCCTGACATGGTGGCGGTGTGCGGATGCCCCTTACGGAGCGGAGTGAGAGCAGGCACGCCCGAAGCGGGGACCGACAGATTACAGCTGGACCTACGACAGAATAACAGCCTTCAAGAACATGGGACACTCCACCGGCCCAAAAGTACCCCGGCAAGGTCCCCGCAAGTCCCCGGCAAGGTCCCGGCAAGGTCGGGCCAGAGATGCCGGAGTTCTGTTTCGGAGTCCAAGAGGGCTCCAGATCGGTCCAAGAGGTCCCCGAGAAGCTTTCTAGGCGGTCCAAGAGAGGCCCGAGACGGCCAAAGATCGCCCGAAGACGCCCCAGATGGCCCCAAGACAGCCCAAGAGGCCTCCAAGACGCTCCAAGGGCCTTCCAAGAGGCCTCCGAAGAGGGCCCCAAGTTGCCAAAATCGTTGATTTTCATTGGTTTTTTCGATGTTTTTTTGCGTTCTGGCCTTTTCGCTTCCGGACGCTCCAAGAGGGCCCAAGAGGCCTTCAAGACTGCTCCAAGACGGCCCACGAGGCTCCCAAGACGGCCCCGGAGCGGCCCAAGAGCGCCCCCCAGACGGCCCAAGTGCTGCCCAAGGCGGACCAAGAGGCCCCAAGACGGGCCCAAGAGGGGCTCAAGAAGGGAACCGAGAACTGAAAAATCGAGCCCTCCGCCCCAGAAGGCGCCCAGGACCCCGAAAGAGGCCCCAAGAGACTCTCCAAGACACCCCCAAGACGCCCCAATAAGCTCCCGTGAGGCCCCAAGAGGACCAACAACGTCAGGCCCCAGGCCCCAAGAGGACCAACAAATACCGCCAAGAGCCCGCCGAAAGCCCCCCAAGAGACCGTCACGAGAGCTCAGGAGGCCCCCTGGAGGCCTCCCGAGTTCTCCAAGAGGCCTAAAAAGAGGCGCCAAGAGGCCCCAAACGGCCCCACCGAGGCTCCAAGAGGCCACGAACGCGCAAGCAAACGCCTGCGATGGCACAATACGGGCCGGCGGAATGAGCGAAGCGATTAAATAACAGCCTTCAAGAACATGGGACACTCCACCGGCCCAAATCGAAGAGCACTCGAGGGTGCCCTCCTCCAGGATGCACAAGAGCATCCAACAAGCACGAATAACATCAGGGCACCCTCCCCGAACTGAGCTCGATCTGATACCTCGGTCCGACCGTAGAGACTATGCCCAACAACAAACGTTGTCCCAAACCGACGGCGGCCGCTGTGGGGCAAGCGACGCTGGTCCCATATTGGCAGCGCCCGCGGCGACACAGAGAGTGGTTACCCGTCGGTCGGAAGAAGGTGGTAGAAACACAAATTATCCCGGCAAAGCAACCTAACAGCGATGTGTAGAAGCATATCTGAAAGCATTCCCCTTAAGATTCAGATGAAAATCCAGTTGTCGAATTCTGCTGTTCTCGCAGTCGTAGTCGCATTCGCGATGACAGTCGCAGCGGCAACGGCAGTCGCAGTCACAGCCTCAGCCTCAGCCTGCCTCCTCCTCCTCCTCCTCTTTCTCCTGCTCCTCCTCCTCCTCCTCCTCCTCCTCTTCCTCCTGCTCGTCCTCGTTCTCGTCCTCCTCGTCTTGCTCGTCCTCCTCCTCCTGGTGCTCTCTCCTCCTCCTCCTCCTCCTCCTCCTCCTCCTCCTCCTCCTCCTCCTCCTGGTGGTCCTCGTTCTCCTCCTCCTGGTGCTCTCCCCCCCCCTCCTCCTCCTCGTCCTCCTCCTCCTCCTCCTCCTCGTCCTCCTCCTCCTCTTCCTCCTCCTCCTCCTCCTCCTCCTCCTCCTGGTAGTCCTCCCCCTCCCCTCCTCCTCCTCCTCCTCCTCTTCCTGGTCGTCCTCGTTCTCGTCCTCCTCGTCTTGCTCGTCCTTCTCCTCCTGGTGTTCTCTCCTCCTCCTCCTCCTCCTCCTCCTCCTCCTCCTGGTGGTCCTCGTTCTCCTCCTCCTGGTACTCTCCCCCCCCCCTCCTCCTCCTCCTCCTCGTCCTCGTCCTCCTCCTCCTCCTCCTCCTCTTCCTCCTCCTCCTCCTCCTCCTCCTCCTCCTCCTCCTCCTCCTGGTACTCCTCCCCCTCCCCTCCTCCTCCTCCTCCTCCTCCTCCTCTTCCTGGTCGTCCTCCTCCTCCTGGTCGTCCTCCTCCTCCTGCTCGTCCTCCTCCTCCTCCTGCTCGTCCTTCTTCTCCTGCTCCTCCTGCTCCTCGTCCTGCTCCTGCTCGTCCTCGTCCTCCTGGTCTTGCTCGTCCTCCTCCTCGTCGTGCTCTTGCCCCTGCTGAAAATGTGGCCCAGGAATGGGAGTTCTGGGAAGTCGAAGAGCACGAAGTTGCCTACAGTTGGCTACGGGCATTCAAAATGTGGCCCGGGAATGGAGTTCTGGGAACTCGAAGAGCACGAAGTGGCCTACAGTTGGCTCCGGGCATTCAAAATGTGGCCCGGGAATGGAGTTCTGGGAACTCGAAGACCACGAAGTGGCCTACAGTTGGCTCCGGGCATCCAAATGTGGCCCGGGAATGGAGTTCTGGGAACTCGAAGAGCACGAAGTGTGTGACTGTTGCATCCGGGCATCCAAAATGTAGCCCGGGAATGGCGTTCTGGGATGTCGAAGAGCACGAAGTGTGTGACTGTTGCATCCGGTTATTCAAATGTGGCCCGGGAATGGCGTTCTGGGATGTCGAAGAGCACGAAGTGGCCTACAGTTGCATCCGGCCCCCCAGAATGTGGCCTGGGAATGGAGTTCTGGGAAGGCGAAGAGCACGAAGTGTGTGACTGTTGGTGAAAAACGAGCCCGGCTCACTGCCGCCCGGCAACTCCCAACACCTGCCCGGACCCCCCTGTGGAGTGATCTGCTGCTCTCTTTTGATCCCACTAGAAACCTATCAGTCTTCGCTGTTAGGTAATTAGGAAGGCGGCGGAAGTAAATTGGGATTCCGCCCGCCCCCTGAAGAGGAAAGACAAGGTGAAACCACTTGATCATTGAAGCAGGAAGGCGCCCGAAGTAGACTGGGACCCGGAAATCCCAAAATAGACGGGTATTCGTGCTCACTCTTTCCGAACCTGGGGAAACCGAGGAACCTCCGGGAAACGGGCAACGTAACAATAGGAGGCACTGGGGGCGGGGAACCCGAAGATCCCAAGGAGCCTCCGAGCAACGGGCAAAGTAACAATAGGAGACAACGACCTTCAAGCAAGCGAGAGCCCCTCAGGCCAGCCTCACTGGGGAAACAGGGGATCCAAGGACCAATCAGCGTTTTGCACCCCCGAACCCGTTATCCATCGCATTTCAAGTATCTGTTTGTCATGACCAGGCTTCTTCTAACAAGCTCCCATCACATTCTCGCTCCGAGAATGCGCTCCCTTCCCGTCATCCTCCGAACGAACTCCCTTTTGCAATCGCGAGCACGTTGCCCTTCGCGCTTTAGTTCTTCATTGAATCCTTACCAAACTTCCTCTAATACGTTCCCATCACCGTCTCGTTACGAAAGGCGCTCCCCGTCAAAAAAAAGGGATCCGCCGACCGAGCTATTTTTTCGCGATCCCGTCATCCGGAGCAACCCTAAGGAACCCTGAGAAACTTATGAAGCATCCTGAGGAATCGTTAGGCGTCTGAGGAAGCCTGAAAAATCCTGGTGGGTCCTCCTCGTTCCTACAGGATCCTGAGGAACCTTCGGGCGCCCCATGGAATCCTGAGGAGCCCGAAAGGGTCCTGTGGAGCCATCGGGCACCCTGAAAAATTCAGAGGAGCCTAGGAGAACCTTCAGGTCTCCTCAGAAACCCGAGCGAATCCTGCGACAGCATGAAGGA